TCCAGTTCTGTAATACGGTGGGAGAACTGACTTTTGGGTTTTGCATTTTATCGTAAATGTTGCATATAGCAAGAGTTGCCACCGACTTTTCTTTTATCCAATAAAGGAAAGGGTGAAAAGAATAGGAAAGACCTTTTGGGAATTTTCTGAGTAAGGGGGGTAGGTTATGAAAAGGGAAGGCGTTTGCACCCTTTTCATCCGTAGTTTTCTACAGGCTCTTAATCGCTAGCTCACTTTTTAGAAATGCTTTGTGCTTGTGTATGTTTGAAAATATTTTTAAAATTCCTAAGTGCGGCAATTTTTTAATGATTCTCGTATCGTTGAGAATGTATACAAAATATTTGTTTTTTTGAAAATATTTATTGAAAGAAAGTGTTGTTTTTGTGAAAAGATGTTTTGTTTTGAAACTTTTGTGAGCAAGTGACTACGAGCGTTCTACCTACTTAAAAAAATTGTTGTTCTTTTCCTCCACCTTTAAATAGTGCTACCCTACCATTAGTTAGTAGGAAGACCTATCATTGGATGTGAGGGACAGACGTGGGTCATCGTACAGTCATAGAAGGTAACTTGTAGGACACTTTAGCAATTTTTGTAAGGGACTAAGTCGTTTACTGAAAGCAGCAACGAAGGGTCGTCGAGGGACTACAATCTTTTAACCGAGGGTCTTTGCAAAAGTGTCTCACGTTCGAGGGACATGATTGTTTAAATCCGAGGCAACAAGTGAGGGTACCCTGGAGGTGCGTGTGTGTGAAGTGTGTTATGTTTCAGTTATTAGTCTTAAGATTAGGTTATCTAACGTTGGTTTTTTACGCCTTGTCATGCACGCCTAATTAATCTACCAGTTAAATATATCTAAATGCGAAAAATAAAAATGCAGGAAATAATCTACACTATTACATCGCTTCAGGGATAGGGAGTATAAACCATAAACTGGAGAGGAAAGCAATAAACCCTAATTATCTATTACAAACTCTCAAACAATTACAATATTGGGAAATAATACGAAAAAGTAACTGAGCACGCGGAGATTGAAAAGGGAAAAAATGGTTTAAAAAAAACCTAAAATATTTCTAAGGGTGTAAGAAAATATTTTTGATGTTTTTGTGTTAAAAAAAATATTTTGAAGTGTGAAATAATAAGTAAACCCTAATTCTAATTAATTTATTAGTTAATTAATAAATAAAAGCAAAATATGATTAAGTTAGATTAATTTTAATTATCAAAAATTAAATTAATTAATTAAAAACCTAGATCTAAATTTTTTTATGATTTTATGATTTTTTTTTCTTCTGATTTTATAAAAAAAATAATTAAAAAAGAAATAATTAATTAAAACAAAACAAAGGAAAAAGAAATTAAAAAGGCCTGATATTGCAAAAGGAAATTGGGAGTATGAATTTGAATTTTTCAAGCCCATTTCAAGGAGGCCTGGAACTATGTTGTGTGATCCCCTATGGTGGCTTTCAGGAGGTGCATCATGGCGTGCTGACTTCGGACCACTGGATCAAGATCAGTTGAGATTTTATGGTATGGAGTTGAGGTACATCATGCGCACGTTGGGATTGCTTGTATGGGATCTGCAAGGAAAATGTTAGAAAATAAAATGCCAGAAGCAGGGATCGAACCCCTGCCCTGGCACACCAAAGTCTTTGCACGCTTCCTCCTACCGTTGGGACGGCTGTTTCATCCGTTTAAAACACAACCATCATTAAATATAAAATAAACTAAGTTTTCAAAAATTTGAAGATGAACTTCATCTTATTTCTCGCGCCAGCAACATCAACATCATTTTCAAATATTGTAAAAGCTTCATTTCTCAACCATTTCAAAAAGTGTAAACAGCAAAGTTACTTGAATTTTAGCCACGATTTGAATGATACCATTTATTTTAACTAACGCTCAAAGAATATTATGAATTTGTTCAAAAACCACATAACCAAAAAAAAGGTTCAGAAGCACCAAACTCATAGTACAAACAAAATTGAAGGCAATTAGCTTAGGGCTCACACTTAACACATTAAAAGCTACATTTTTGCTTCAAAAATTAAACACTAATGATGTATGAATGATGGTTTTCGAAAGAGGTCAGAATTTACCCTTTTGGAGAAAGTCCAAAGCTTATTCTACGGCTTCCAGGTGCAATGTGATGATTCTATGAGCTTGTTGGGACTTCACTGAAACTATTTCAATCCTTACTTTGCTTTAAAACTTGTTGAAACGATTCAACCAAGTCAATATGCAAGCGACTGTTTTTTGAGTGAGAGGGTCATAATGGCATGGTGTAAATTTGGATTTTATGGTTTGAATAACTTCTAAATGAGTTCTAGAAACTTTGTAAATGATAACAATGGAAAATGCACAAGTAAAATGAGAAATGGAAGTTTGAGGCTTGAAGAACTTTCTACAATGGTGTTTTTTAAGAAAATTTTCGTGTATTGAGTTATGTGACATGGAGAGGTATTTATAGAGGTTACAAATGGTCCCTTTAACTTGCAGAAATCAAGCTCTATTCATATGGGAGTATGGTTTTGTCATTTGGTTTGAAAATGCACAAAAAAGCATGTTGCTTCATGATGAAGCAAGGGAGTGATTCAAGGGATTTGCCATGCTTTTTCTAACCTCTAGAAGTTGATTTTGATATTGAGATTTTGTGTGATCTGATTAGGAGAAAGTTACAAGCTTAAGTGAGGAGTTGTTGACATAAATCTTGCTTTATCAAAGAGGCAAAGTGACTTTATGCAAATTCATCCAAAAATGGCACCAAGACTTGGACAAAGCTTTAAATCTTTGTGTAATACACTTAGGGCCTGTGTAATTACTTAATTATGGAGAGATTTAAAGATAACATAGCCTGAAAAGAGATATCTTGTAGCTTTGGTTGGAGTTTTGGCATAAGGTCATCAAAAAATGACTTAAGATTGAAGTTTGAATGACCAACTTCTTTTCTTCGAATCTCCTAGCTCAAGTATGAGAAATTTATGCTCTTGGACATTTTTGAAAGCTTGAAACATTGTCTACAACTTTCATGTTGAACACTTTTGTTGAATCAATTGGGATCTTGGTGAAAAAATGGCCATGAAGTTGGTCACTTTTTGATGTCAAAATTGTTTGATAAATTTCTCTAAGTGTTGGCAGAATTTCACATTCTTATATCTCTTTATTTGAGCATTTTTTGGAGATCAACTCTCATTAACAAAGTTGTAGAACTTTTCATTCCCTACAACATTTTTGTTGAAAGTTTTTGCTGAATCAATTTGGATCTTAGTGAAAAATGGTCATAAAGTAGTGACTTTGTTAAGAACAAAACACTTAGAAATTTTTCTAAGTGTTGGAAAAATTTTCAACTTTTGACTTTTGTTGACTTTTTTCTTGATTTTATTGACTTTGTTGATTCTTGATGATCAAACTTGATAATTTTGAATATTTTGACGATTCTTGATTTTTGAATTCCAATGTTGACCAAAAAGTCAAAGTTTGACTTTTGTATGACTATTGACTTTTTATCAATTGATTCAATTCTTCAACTATCAATCACTTGTATCTTTGGAAATGTCTTGAGTCATGTAATTAGGTCAAGATGTTATATTTGAGCCCTTGAGATCATGCTTTAAGCCATTAGATCATGCACTAGGCCAAAAGTCAATGATTAGTCAGTCATCTTCAATCAAAATCCTAATTTGGTAATTTTTTATCTTTGATGATTTGAGGGCTTTCCTTGAGGAATCGTGATCAACCCTTGATCAAATGATGAATATCACCTCAAAATATTGATATTAGCAAAAAAATCTTGAAGTTTGACTATATGTTGACCATAGTTGACTTTTTACCTAATACAGTTCACTTTAAATCTTCTGAGTCATTGACTGAGCAAACATGTGGTGCAAGACTTGAAGCTTGACATGAGCATTATTGAGGACCCATGATAAACCTTGAAAGTCATTTGAGACCCTTGCAACCCAATCTTCTTTGAGAAGCACAAAAATCCTAGTTGTAGACTCTTGCTTAGGAGGAGGTTTGATCAATCAACTCTTTAATAGCTTTGAGTATTTGAGACCTTTGTGAAAATGTTTTGAAAAAAATGAGAGAATAAATTTTGGAGTATAATAAGTAGCATCTACGATAAATAAAGCTAATGAAGTGGAGATTACTCAGAGTTTGGCTTTGGTGGTGCTTGCTAACATGGTTGTGAATGCCAATGTTGTGTTATAAAATTAATGGGAAAAGTGAAAGAGTTGGATAAAATGAGAAGTTGATAAAAAATTAGATAAGAAATAGATGACTTATGTGTGTTTAAACTTTATGGGTTTGTGATTCTGGATTTTAAATTTATAATCTTAAGGACATAAATTATATTGTACTTATAGATGTTAATTATGTGAAATACACATAGGCCATTTTTCAAATTGGGATCATTTTTTTCTCAATTTAAATAGAATTTTTTACTGTCCTATTTATAAAAAATATTTTTTAATTTATTAAATAGCCGATGTAATTTGATTTACATACTGTCCAGGTACATTATCGATTCATTGTACCTAAAAAAATTCTTATAAAATGACTATATATGAGAAGAAAAAAAATATATTAAGTTTTTTCTTTCTTTCTATATGAGAAAGGAGGGAGTATACCCGAAGATTTTAATGCTGAAATTTGTAGCATAACCACATTAAATTCCAAAATGAAAAGTTCTAAATCGGTTAATGTTCTTTGCACTAAAGAGTACTTCTGTAAATTCTCCCCATGTTATGAACTTAGCAATATTTTCTAACTAAGCCAAAGTCTTAGTTATTTTGACCAAACAATTGCCGCATCTATAATTACCTCCAACCAAACTAACATAGTAAGGGCTATTAATTGGTCACAACCGCTTCCATGAATTCCTTAAATGCATACCTACAACACTTGTCTATAAGAGTCCTCAAAACTCTAATCCCACACACAAACCAAACAAGTTCCAAGAAGAAAAAAAAAGCATTATTTCAAACTTTCTCTCCACCAAAATGTCAAGTGAAGTAGCAAAGAAAGAAGGGTCTCTAAATCTGAAAATCACTAGCAAAAGCTATGTGAAACCAGATGAAAAAATAGGAAAAAAAGAGTATCAATTGGTCACATTTGACCTACCTTACTTGGCTTTTTACTATAACCAAAAACTGATTTTTTACAAAGGAGGTAACTTTGAAGAGAATGTTGAGAAGCTGAAAAATGGGCTTGGTGTTGTTTTGAAGGAGTTTCATCAACTTGCTGGTAAAATAGGAAAAGATGAAGAGGGTGTTTTCTTGGTTGAATATGATGATGATATGGTTGGTGTTGAAGTTGTTGAAACCGTTGCTAATGAGGTTAGTGTCCAAGATCTAACCGTTGCTGAAAGTAATGCTAGCTTGAAGGAATTGATTCCTTATGGTGGAATCTGTAATTTGGAAGGCATGCATAGACCTTTGTTGGCTGTTCAGGTAATTCAGTTTTTTTTTTTTGTTAAAATATGGTTATTTTTGTTGATTCAATGTTTTTTTATGAGATCTAACTTAGATGAGGTTTTTGTATGGTCACATTTCACATAAAACTTCTAAAAATACATCGATTTTGTTATTCGTTATGTTTTCCTTTGTCTTATTACTAAGACAAAAGAAAATCATTTAAAAGGTTAGTTAAGAAGAAATGCATGTAAATTTTTTCTTTGAAACGGATTAAATAACAATTAGAGTAAAAATTTGTTAATGATAACTTTTTGCCAAACTACCCTTGATTAAGTTACTTAGTGACTAAATTTTCACTTTTCTTAAATAAATAAATTAAATGTCACAATTTAGTGACTACTAACAATTAACCTAGATTATCGAGAAAAAAAAATCAATTAGTGGTCAATTTTAGTTCTTGTACATAAAAATGTTCTAATCAAATCCAGCTGTAATTCATAAATGACTTATAAATCTCAACCAATAAAAAAAGATAAGATAAAGTTTTGATATTTTTGTGCAAATTTGATGGCTGATTGTAGCATGGCCCATATACTAGACTCCACTTCCCATATGTAAATAACTTTCACAAATAAAAATTTTTCTTCTGTTTTTCTATGTCCCGTTTTTATTTTATTTTTACCTATAGTTGTTAATAAAATAGTTTCATTAAATAGGAAAAATGAAATAACATCATTGCCATTTTGATTTTTAACAGTTGACAAAGCTGAAAGATGGGCTCGCCATGGGCTTGGCTTTTAACCATGCGGTCCTTGATGGAACTTCCACATGGCACTTCATGACTTCATGGGCCGAGATATGCAGCGTTACACCCTCCACAACAGCCCAACCATTTTTGGACCGGACCAAGGCCCGAAACACTCGCGTGAAGCTTGATCTCTCTCTACCTGAGCCCAAAGCTCTACCACCATTGACTAATGGTGAGGCAAAGTCAGAGAACGAAAGCCCTGCACCATTAGTTAATGGTGGGGTAAAGTCTGAGCCTATATTAAGAGAAAAGATCTTTAAATTTTCTGAAGTGGCTATTGATAAGATTAAGTCAACAGTCAATCAAACTCTTCGAAGCGATGGTTCAAAACCATTCTCAACATTCCAAGCTCTCTCCACTCATATTTGGCGCCATGTGACTCTTGCACGTGACCTAAAACCCGAAGACTACACGGTTTTCACCGTCTTCGTGGATTGTAGAAAACGAGTGGATCCACCAATGCCGGAGGCCTACTTCGGGAACCTAATTCAAGCCATATTCACGGTCACGGCCGCGGGACTTTTATCGGCCCACCCGCCACAATTCGGTGCATCCTTGATCCAAAAGGCAATCGAAGCGCATGACGCTAAAGCTATCGATGGACGTAACAAAGAGTGGGAGAGTTCACCCAAGATATTTGAATTCAAAGATGCTGGAATCAATTGTGTGGCTGTAGGAAGTTCACCAAGGTTTAAGGTTTATGACATTGATTTCGGATGGGGGAGGCCAGAGAATGTGAGAAGTGGAACTAATAACAAGTTTAATGGAATGATATATTTGTATCCAGGGAAGAGTGGAGGAAGAAGCATTGATGTAGAACTAACATTGGAGCCTGAGGCTATGGGAAAGTTGGAGCAAGATAAGGAATTTCTTATGGAGAATATAATATAAACTACTAGAGTTCATTTGTGCAATAAAGATGAGATATTGTTGAAGGGATTCTTCATCTACTAGTTTGCGTATTTATCACGCTATTGTTTAGGTGTGCGTTGTTTAATAGGATTTCATTTGTATTTGGTGGTTTTATGGTTTCATTGAATTTGAACTTGATAATGTTGTTTGGATAGTGTATGTGATCCACATTTTCATGATTTCTCTTAAATAGAAAATTAAGTTTATATAATTCTTATATTGCACTTTTTTTTTTTATTCGAAAATTTTGGATCCACTCATTCCAAAGATGTTTAGGATTTCAAAGAAAAATATATGAAATTTTGAAGGGTATGTGATCAACATTTGAAGATGACTATTATTATACTCAACTTTAACATTAGTGTGCCTCATCTTTTTCCTTCATTGTTCTTGATTATCGGAGATGGTGATTTTCATGTCCATGTGAACTTCAATTCGCTCTCAGAATACTCCTTATCCAAACAAACAAGATGAACTGTCAAAGACACTTTAATGCCAAATTTATCTAGAACCTGAAACGATAGTGATGCATGAGTTGGAAATTGAATGATCTATATGGGGATTCACACCATATTTATAAAGTTGTTGAACTTGTGTAAATTCCAGACAGTTACTATTACCTTTTTTGAATTCATCATTAAGATTGTATTTAAATAACTATGATGTGTAAGCATACTTGAATGTCGAGGTAGGCAATGGTATTTTGTTTATATTCATCTTGGATATTCTCCGAGAAGAATATAAGTTGGAACCTGTGAGGTCGAGAATTTAATTTTTATTCATACGAATCTCGATCTTCTCTCGAGAAAGAGTAAGGTTTATAATGAAAGAACAACAAAAATATGATATATTGGTGGAAATAAATAAGATCTATTTAATAGAGTTGATATTCTTGAAGTCATTAGTCTTTCTCTCGATGAACCTGAACTAGAAATCGGTTTTTTTAATGATATTGAAAAAAAAATTAATATTCACTGATAATTTTATAATTTATTGATAATTTTTAAATGTAATTTATTTATATTATCACAAAGATATTAACTTTTCTTAAACAAATTTTTTAATTTTAATATTTTATTATTTAAATAATATAATTATTTTTTACTTTTTAGTTATGTTTTAAAAAAATATACTAAGATATCTGTATCTTAGTTGTTCTAAAAACGTCGTAATTCGTATACACAATGCAGGTTAGAAGAATGTTGCTGTGACATGTGTAATTATTTAAATAATATAATTATGAGGTAGAAGTATAATTATTTTATTTTAAAATAAATTTAAAATTTAAATCAATTTGCACTAAAGCTATGGGTATCCATACACTTTGATTCCTCTGTATTGATTTTTCTAACATTTTAGTCCCCTTATTTTTAAATTGTGATTTAATAATTTGTAATTTAATATTTATTTTCTTTAATATTTTTTAATAATTAAATGTTTTTAATAATTTTAATTATTTTATTATATTCATATTTATTTATTTATTTAAAAATTAAATATTCTAAAAATTTTATATGAGCATAATGTCCAACTTCTTTACAAGAGCATCCCGTCTCTAATATTTAATTAAAGCAAGTGCAAGAGTCTTATATAAACATTAAATATTTTACTTTACAATTTGATGTGGGGTTTAAAGATGCAAGCAAAATAAATTTCTCCATGAATGCTCCATAATCTGATATTTAGCAGAATGATATTTTGTATAGACTTACAAGCATTTCAAACTAATAAATTAATTTTAATGATGTGGCAAGTGACTAGACATATTTTAAGGTGTCATGTCATTTAAAAATCTGATAAATGATATGAGATTATAAAAAATTCACAAGGACTAAAATGTTAGAAAAATTAATATAAAGAGACCAAAAATATATTTAAATTTATTTTTTAAATAGAAATGAATGATTCAAATTTTGAGATAATGAATTTAAAGGAATGACATCCGCTCAACTAATTCTATTAAAGCCTTGATCGAAATCTAAATTAGTGATAAGAATTAAATAGGTCTTTCATAACAAACATAATGAAAGAAAGTCAAGCTTGTTGAGAAAGGGTAAGATCAATGCGAAAATTACGAGTAGTTAGTTTGAGTCGAAATAGAGCAAAAAAATATAAATTCGACGCAAACTGCGATTTCATTATTAAGGTCCAATTTTGACTAATAAAATTTTAATTTTTGGTGAATTCAATTTAATCGACTTGTCGGATAAATTGAGTGAGTTTTGTCCGTTTTATATGTATTGAGATAAATTAATAAAAATGACTCATCTTTTATAAAATTAAAAAATATTCATCTTTTAATTTTTTTTTAAAACTAACAAAATTTTAGAATAACTCAAAGAAAAACTATTTTTTATTATTGAAAAAACGTTATTATCACGTAATAACATTTCAAATATCATTTGATATTATTTTGTTCATTATCATATTTTAAACAATAAATTAAATAACACTAAAAAAATATTTTTGACACTGAATAACATTCAAAATTTTATATTATATATCTTATACTTTTGTGAGTATACAATGCCACCATTAAATTATAAAAAAGATAATAACTTGATAATATTATGAACCTCAATTTTATAATGGTTCGATTCTATAAGTAATAAAAAATATAAAAAACAAATATTAGTTAAGTTCGGTCGAGTTTGGTTTTCTACGGATCTAAAATAATCATCTGAGTCCGACTGAACAATCATATACAATCCAAATTAAGTAGCCGGATCAACCCGACACTCAATCCGACTCAATCCATTTGTATAAAAAAGATAATGTGATGGTCGGTTTCGATCGGACGGTTCAAATTTGTCCACCACTAATGAATACAAATATTTTGATAAGATGTATGTCAACGTAGTTATATTATAAGCCATAAAAGATGCTTTTAGCTTTGTTAGACTGTAATGCGGTGGGAGAACTGACTTGGTATTTTGCGTTTGATTGCAATTGTTGCGGATAGCAAGAGTCGCCACCGACTTTTCTTTTATCCAAAAAGGAAAGGCTGAAAAGAACAGGAAAGACCTTTAAAGATGTTTTCTGAGTTCGGGGGGGGGGGGGGGGGGGGGGGGGTAGATTATGAAAAGGGAAGGTATTAGCACCCTTTTCATCCGTAGTTATTTACTGACTCTTAGTTGCTTGCTAGATTAACTTGCTTTTGTTTGAATGTGCTTGTGGTGTGAGTTTTGAAAGTATTTTGAAAACGTCTTTGTAATGGTTTTCGTTTCTATAAGAACGCGTACAAAGTGTTGTTTATGAAAATAGTTCAAAGAGGTGTTTGTGGAATGTGTTTTTTAAAGTGATTTTGAAAAGTGTCTTTGTAATGATTCTCGTTTCTATAAGAATGTGTACAAAAAGCTTTATCTTTTGAAAATGTTTCAAAATGAGAGTGTTGGTGTAAAAAATGTTTTTATTGTGAGCAAGCGAGCAACTAGGAGCAATCTACCTACTCAAAAGGTCTTAGATGTTCTTTTCTTCCTCCTTTAGATGTCACTATCTTACCATTGTTTTAGTAAGAATCCCCATCGTTGGATGTGAAGGGACGGGCGTGGGACGTTTTGTATAGTCATAGAAGGCAACCTATGGGACATTTTTAGCAATATCGTTTTAGGGACTAGATCGTTTACCGAAGGCAATATTGAGGGTCATCGAGGGACTACGATCTTTTATCGAGGGTCTTTGTTAAAACGTCCATATTCGAGGGACATGACTATTTTTTCCGAGGCAACAAGTGAGATCACCCTATAGGTGCGAGTGTGAAAGTGTGTTTGATTGCATGCATTTGATCTTTGATTTTTGGGTTGTCTACTTGTTGTTTTTATGTCTTTCCATATACACCTTAATTACTAACAATATATGAAAGCAATAAAAGTACGGAAAAGTAAAGTCCTACACTATTACATCATTAGAGGATGGGGTGTACAAATTTACACATGGGGATTGCAAGAAATTAAAGTCATAATTATCTATTACAACCATATTGAAATAATGTGCAAGAAATGTAAAATGAACTTGTTTTGTTTAAGTGAAGAAATAAGTTTGTTTAAGAAAATATTTTGATCTTTTTATGCTAAAAGAAATAAAATAAAACATGTGAATATGAAATATTTTTGGTGTTTTTGATTTAATGAAAATAAAAGTGATGGTAATAATAGTAAGGAGAAAGAAAACAAAATCAGCGCATTGCTGAAATAAAAGGGATCAGAAGTTCTGACTCTGGCGTGCTGCAAAAAACAGAAATAACATGTTAGCAGAAATATGGAAGGTCAGAAGTTCTGGGTCCGCTGGGAACAAAGGAGATTTTAGAAGTTCTGATGCCGCTAGCAACCTAGAAATGCTAACTTTATTAGAAAGTCAAGAGTTTCTGGTTGTTGAGAGAGTTTGGAAGTTCTGATGTAGTAGGGAACCTAGAAGTTCTAGTGTCACTGGCTAGTCAGAAGTTCTAGTTGTTTGAGAGGGTGAGGTGATAATGTTGTTGGGTGAGGATGTCTAGAAGTTTTGGCCCATGATGGGAAAAATGCCAGGGGATAAACATAAAAAGGTGTTTATGGGACTAGAACTCAGGACCTTTAACACTAATGTCTTATGCGTGCCTTTTCTACCACTGGGGTGGCCATACATCCAGTATTAGAAGCAAAGGCATAAACATGCATCACAAAGTAAACTCTGATAATGAAATTCATCTCCTTCTCCATGCTAGTCAGAGCATATGCAACTTAGTCATTTCTCAACAAAAGAGAAAAATACGCACATAGTAGTTATGGCAGGTTTCATCATGCTTCAGAAACGTAAAAATATTTGGACTGTAAATCTGAAACAAACATGTATCTGCTAATCCTAATTTCCTTAAGAAGCTTTGAACTGATATTCTCCCTACTTGGGCAAAGAATACATGAATCCTCATAATATGCACAGCATCAGAATCAGGATGTCTACATTGTATTTTTGAACATGCAAATCTAACAATGCCTAATTAATAT